TAAGGAACTCAAAGAACTCAATAAAAACTCAATAAAAAATAATAATCCAATTAAAATGAGTAATGCATCCAAATAGACATTTAGGAAAAGAAGACATCCAAATGGCTAATAGGTGTGTGGAAAAATGTTCAACATTACCAATCATCAGGGAAATGCAAATTAAAACCATAATAAGATTATCATCTTACCCCAGTAAGAATAGCTATTACCAAAAAGAAGACAGCAAGTGCTGGCAAGAATGTAGAGAAAGGGAAGCCTTTTATGCTGTTAGTGTGAATGTAAATTAGTGTAGCAATTATGGAAAACAGTATGGCGGTTCCTCAAAAAATTTAAAGAACTACCTTTTGATCCAGTAATCCCACCACTGGGTATACATGGCAAAGAAAATGAAATCAGTATGTCAAAGAGACATCTGCATGCAACACTCTTCACAACAACCAAGAAATGGAAAACAACCTGAGTACCATCAACCTATGAATGAATAAAAAAACTGTGGTATATATACACAATGGAATACTATTCAGCCATAAAAACAATGAGGGGCTGGGATTGTGGCTCAGTGGTAGAGTCTCACCTAGCATGTGTGAGGCACTGGGTTTGATCCTCAGCACAATATAAAAAATATAAAAAATAAAGATACTGTATCCACCTAAAACTAAATAATAAATATTTTAAAAACAATGAAACGCTGCCATTTATGGATAGAACTGGAGATCATTGTGTTAAGTGAAATAATCCAAGCACAGAACTATGGCTACATGATCTTATTCACATGTACAATCTAAAAATTTGACCTCATAGAAGTTGACAGTATAATGAGAGTTACCAGAGGCCAGAAAGAATAGAAGGAAAGGACAGTTGGAGAGAGATTGATTAATGAATACTAAGTATAGTTAGATGGGAAAAAAGGAACACTGGTATGTTATTATACACTCAGATGACTATATATGATGATATTGTACAGTGTATTTTTTAAAAAAATAGAATATTTTTTAGTGATTTCATCATAAAGAGGTGATGACAAAGGAGATACAGGTTTACCTGGTTTGAACATTACATAATGTATGAATTTATCAAAACATAACATGGTACCCCATAAATGTATACTTTTATGTATCAGATGAAATTTTTTAATTTAAAAATAAAATTTTAAAAGTATGATCATAAGCTATATAATGCTATTTTAGTCAATGATGGACTGATGGTCCAATAAAGTAAGTCATATCACACAGTGACATCATATTCATCTTATTTTGCACATGTGCACTCTCTGATGCTCATATGACCACAAAATCACCTAATGATGCATTTGTCAGAATGTATCTCTGTCCAAGAAATTGACTATATACAGAAGGCAGTGTTCAGTTCTTATCTACCTACAGTATAGCTAAGTATGGTTGACCAAATAAATTGTTTCAAACTGAGGTCAGAAGTTTGTCCAGAACAATTCACATAACCTGTGTCAGAGCAAACAAAAGATATAGACAAAACTTTCCCTATTAGATACTAGTAAAATGAAATAAAATGGTCTGCAGACATGAATAGCCATAGAGTAGGGAGAAACAAAAAACTTACAAAATATACAAAGAACCTAGTGTGGAGCAGAATATAAACCTAGAAAAACAAACAGGTTTGTTGTTGTTGTTGTTGTTGGGAGTACTTTACACTACAGGCAACTTAATACAAATTTGATCAAAACTACACTGAAATTCCATCTCAGTCAGAATGGCAATTATCAAGAATACAAGCAAAAATAGATGTTGGTGAGCATGTGGGGAAAGAGGTTCAGTTATACATTGCTGGTGGGACTGCAAATTGGTGCAAACACTCTGGAAAGCAGCATAGAAATTCCTTAGAAAACTTGGAATGTAAAAAAAAAGAAAACTGAGAATGGAACCACCATTTGACCCCATTATCCCACTCTTTGGATTATATGCTTAAAACCAGATGAATAGATGAAGAAAATGTGGTATATACACCCAATGGAATATTACTCAGCCATAAAGAAGAATGAAATTATGGCATTTGCCAGTAAGTGGATGGAACTGGAGAATATCATGCTAAGTGAAACAAGTCCATCCCAAAAATCCAAAGGCAGAATGTTCTCTCTGACATATGGATATACTAACCCACAACAAGGGAGGTAAAGATTAGATGTTCATTGGACTAGACAAAGGGGAATAAAGGGAAGGGAGGGGGGATGGTAAAAGAACAGACAATAGAATCAATTGGACATATCTTTCTTATCCTCATATTTAAATACATGACAAATGTAACTCCACATCATGTACAACCACATAATGAGAGAGATCCTAATCAGAACAAGTTATACTTATTGTATGTATGTATAATATTACAAAATATACTCTACTGGCATGTAAAAAATAATAATAAATGGCAAAAATAAAAGAAAAAAATTTGGAGAGCCCAATTGAAAAAACAATTTCCAAGAAAAAAAAAGAATACAGATTTGATAAAAACGAAGAGCTCAAATACAAAATGATAAAAAAGGAAAATAAGAGAAAAAAGAAGACTGAAAGCAAAGTAAAAATATTGAAACGTAAAAAAAAAACAATTCATTCAAATCATTAAAATTAAAAACAGCAATAGACAAGAAAAAAAGGATAAGGAAATGAGACAAGGATAAGGAGGGGAGAAAGAAAGAAAATGGTGAAAAAAGTGATAGCATGAAGGATCAGGTTTGGTTAATCATGGTTAACATCATACAGTAAAAAACCAAAAAGCAGTGGTACAGAAACAGAGGATAAGGAAATCTAATACCCCTGAGGTGGTGAACTTAACTTATAAAAATTCCCACAATGAAGAAAGAACTCATCTAGGATATACCACAAATCAGGAAAAATGATACAGTAAATCCAATCACATGCACACACATACACCCACATGCATACTTGTGCACATGTGAACACATACATACAAAGTTGCCTACAAGGAAGGAAAACAAATCGTGTTAGTATTAGACTTCTTCACAGTTATATTCAATAGCAGAAGGTAACTTAGCAATGTCTAAAATATTATGAGGGAAAGAAAATGTGACCCAAGAATATAATACTCAGCTAAGATATCGTTCAAATATAAAGACATTTGGCAAATGCTCTTAACACGAAATAATGCAATAAATACTGCAAGTCCTTGTTGAAGGAACTTCTCCAAGATGAAATCCAAACAATCAAGAAATAAAGAATGCAGAAATAGATACACCATGATACAATTGTCAGCATATAATCCTTTTAAAATAAAAAATAAACAAACTACTTTAAAAAGCTAATGATTTATGATTGTATAACAATTTAAATGTTATAAACCTTGATAAAATCTAAATGACTTGAATGGCAAATAGGAATAGGGCAAAAGAATTGAAAGGAAACATTAGAAATCTAATCTCTTCCTCTTTCAGAGCAGAGAATCAAATAATAATGTTTAATATTGAAATGGGAACTTTCAAAAATGATTAACTGACTGCTAACGAAAGATTAGCAATTCTTCCATTTTATTTTAGTGTGTTATTCTGTTAAATTCAAACAAAATTAAATGAAATGATTTTGGAGCTGTGGATGTAGCTCAGTGGTAGAGCACTTGCCTGGCATGTGAAACCCTGGGTTTTTCCCCTGCACTGAAGAAAAAGGAAGGAATGACTTTAATTTATTATATGATGATCCAATATTATGAAGTTTCTTCAGTCTATCCATCCAGTCATCTCTCTATAGATAAAAGATATATTAAATGATTTTCACATAATATATAATGTGAAAACTTGGGTAGCAAGGATCTCAGTGATTTGTAGCTTTCTTCTTTCTCATTTCCTGTACTGTTTAATTTTTTAATTGATTTAAAAAAATGACAGCGGAATGCATTACAATTCTTATTGCACATATACAGCACATTTTTTCATATCTCTGGTTGTACATAAAGTATGTTCACACCAATTCATGTCTTCATACATGTACTTTGGATAATGATGTCCATCACATTCCACCATCCTTGCTAACCCCCTGCCCCCTCCCTTCCCCTCCCACCCCCTTAATGAATAAATATATGAAAAAGTGTTCATCATCTCTAGCAATTAGAGAAATGCAAATCAAAACTAAGATACCATCTCACTCCAGTCAGAATGGCAGCCATTATGAAGACAAACAACAATAAGTGTTGGTGAGGATGTGGGGGGAAAGGTACACTCATACACTGCTGGTGGGACTACTGTTTAATTTTTTAAAATAATGATTATGTGTTATTTTTATTTGCCTTCAGCTTGTTCTTATGAAGTAAATATGCCCAAATGTTACTATTTACATGTTACTGTTTACATGAGTTTTAGAATTAGGATTGATTTTTCCCTTTTACCCTTTTCTGCGTATTCCAAATATTCTTTTTTTAAATTTATTTATTTTATTTTTTAATTAGTTGTTCAAAACATTACATAGCTCTTGACATATCATATTTCATACATTTGATTCAAGTGGGTTATGAACCCCCCTTTTTCCCCCCGTATACAGATTGCAGAATCACATCGGAGCAGATTATGCTAAGTGAAGCTAGCCAATCCCTAAAAAACAAATGCCAAATGTCATCTTTGATATAAGGAGAGCAACTAAGAACAGAGCACGGAGGAAGAGCATGAGAAGAAGATCACCATTAAACAGGGTCGAGAGGGGGGAGGGAAAGGGAGAGAGAAGGGAAATTGCATGGAAATGGAAGGAGACCCTCATCGTTATACAAAATTACATATAAGAGGAGGTGAAGGGAAAGGGGGAAAAAACAAGGGAGAGAAATTAAGTACAGTAGATGGGGTAGAGAGAGAAGATGAGAGGGGAAGGGAGATAGTAGAGGATAGGAAAAACAGCAGAATACAACAGACACTAGTATGGCAGTATCCAAATATTCTTGTAATGAACATCTATGAGATAGAAGAATTTCTAAAAAGTAATAAAAGAATTAAAGGAATGTTGTAGCATTTCCTTAAATAACTACTTGGTTCTCACCTGGGTTCCTGCTGTTGCTCCTGAATAATCTTTCTTCCTGGCCAGATATCACCCATCTGTGTCTGATGAAGGAGGGAATGTCCCACTGTCTCTCTTTTATTTGCTTAAAGACAAACAAAAGCATATTGGGGTGGTGTTGATGAGTGTAGGAAAGGGTAACAATGCTCACAGCATCTCCTACAAAATCATAACACTTGCAGAAGGGATGGAGGTACAATCTTTTATATTCCCACAAACCAGCTAAGCCCATGGAGTTAAGACTCCACCATTCAGAACGCACTAGGATCTATGGCTAAGGGTAAGTCCTACAGGTAACCATCCCTAGAAAAGCCCAGTACCTGCAGGTTTACGCCGAAGGGACATCCTGATTATCTCACTGCCTGTGCGGTAAGCAAAGCGGTTCACTTTCTGGTCATAAAACCAGTCTCCAGTTGCTTTCTTCAGCTCTCTGGGAAGGAATGAAAGAAAATGACCAATGTACCAGGTATGGTTATACATGCCTGTAATCCAAGTTACATGGCAGGCTGAGGAAGGATTACAAGTTCAAGGCCAGTCTGGGCAAGTTAGCGATACCTTGTCTCAAAATAAAATCTAAAAAAGGCTGAAGATGTAGCTCAGTGGTAGAGCAATTGCCTAGCATGTGCAAGGCCCTGAGTTCAATCCCCAGCACCGGGAGAGGGGGGGATGCAGAATGGCTCCTGTCATTCAACTAACAAAGACTGAGGAAAAGAATTGAATACCATAGTCAGGACTCTTCTCTTACTCAGCCATAGGTTAACACTCACATTTCTTTGGCGCACACCTTGCACCTCCAGGTACCATTGCTTTCCTGGATGCGGCAGTCCCGACACACCAGGTGATTACAACCCCAACAAGTGTTGGTCTTGGGAGTCAAACGGCCCAGACTCTCTTGGCACCGGGCACAGGTCCGATCACTATAGTGTTGGCTACCCCTCTTGGCCCCTTTCCTTTTGATTTCCAGTAGTTCATTCTTCAGTCGCCTGCCAAGCCCCAAAAGACAAGCACAATTGGATTCAGGATCTGTGTAGGTCAGATGGAGAAGAGTTGAGGGGCAAAGACACACTATTTGATTCTGTGAAAGCAACAAACTCAGAGCCCAACTTGACCCAACAAAGAATTGTAAATGTCATGTACACAATTTCCTCTGAAAGTCAAATGAGAAGCAAAAAGAAAAGCTTAGATATCACTGGTCAAGGGAATGGGACCTTATACTATTTCTTGGACTCTTACCTAATCCTTTTCTCATCTGCTTTCCGAAGCTCCTCATCTCGCTGTAGAACATTAAGGATCAAATCCCTTTCCACCTCAGACAGAAAAGAGAGGTCCAGTATCTCTGACATGATGTATTCTACTTTCTCTTGTACTCCTCTTTCTTCAAAGCAACCGAACAAGGAGAACTTCCAGCGTTGCCTGAAATGAAAGAACAACCCATTTCACATAGATGATTTATTCCAGAATAGGCCCACAGCTCTAGAGCCTTTCAGTAGGCTACTTTCCTCTTGAACTAGGCTAAAGAGACAAAACAAAAGTATCTAATCTATTTACTATTCCTCTTCCAACTTGAGTCATGCCCTAAAAATGAAGATTTTTTGATTTTTCAAGGAGTTATTCATAACTGTGGGAAATGATTGGATCTTTTAGCATAAGCATTAGAGTCTAGAAAGAGCATAAAACAGTCAAACTCTCAATCTACCAAGTGGATCCTCAATCATTCAATTTTCATTACTTTAAATGTTCTCAAGTAACACAAATAAATAGGCAGCTGGTGTCTGTAGTGTAGGGAAAAATCACATGAGGGCTCCTGCCAGTTTAGTCCAATTTCTCCATTCCTGATCAGCTTCTACATTCCTGTATTCAGTCAGTATGGGGCTATGCTTCAAAAAATTACACTACCTACTCTACCTCCCAAAGTTCTTGTTGTACTATCACTACAACTGAAGAATATCTTCCACCATTTCATGAAGATTAGTTGAGCACCACTCTTTCAGGAATTATGCAGAGTGCTGGAGATAAAGATATAAATAAAACTCAGTTCTTGCCCTTAGGAAGTTTGCAGAGTAATGGAGGAGACAGACACACTGGAGGACAGTAAAATATATCAAGTGCTGTCAGGAGTATTATAAATTAAGTACATGGGAATTCAGAGAAGGAAGTAAGTAATTCTATCTTACATAGTGAAGGGGAGAGAGATCTATATAGATGGGAGGGTTTTACATAAGATTTGGATTTTGCATTATCAAACAGAGAACATATTTGTTCATGGAGGAAAAATGGTAAGAAAGTTAGATTGGGACCCAATCATAAAGTTTAAATACTCTTTAAAATGAAGAATTTAAAAATGTATTGTACCAATAATTTGAATCCAACAAACATCTTTGGTTTTGCTTTTTGATGTTAGAAATGATATGATTTAATTCATTTTACAAAGATTGCTATTTATAATATGAGAGATTTATTCAAAGAATTAATTGAAGGGCATTTGGTAGCACCCATCACATTCTAAAATAGGCAATAATAAGAATCTGCATAATAAAAATAGTCACATAAATATTATGGAAGGGCCTATTTATATAAGAGTGTTATTGCTGCATTTTAAAAAATATATTTAATTAGTTATTCATGATGGTAGAATGCATCATATATAAATGGGGTATAATTTCTCATTTTTCTGATTATACATGTTTAGAATCACATCACTCATGCAGTCATATATGTACACAAGGTAATAATGCCTATTTCATTCTACTATCCTTTGTATCCCCATATCCCTTCCCCTCCCTTCACTCCCCTCTACATAATCTAAAGTAACTCTATTCTTCTCTAGTGCCCCCTTATTTTGAATTAGCATCTGCATATCAGATGCAAACTTTGGTTTTGGGGGATTGGCTTACTTAGCATGATATTCTGCAACTCCATCCATTTACCAGCAAATGTCATAATTTTATTCTTCTTTAAAGCTGAGTAATACATTATTTTAAGAATAAAAAAGTTCTTTTTTTAATATTTATTTTTTAGGTGTAGTTGAACATAATGCCTTTATTTTACTTACTTATTTTTATGTGGTGCTGAGGATTGAATCCAGGGCCTTGCATGTGCTAGGCAAGCACTCTACTTCTGAGCTACACCCCAGCCCCAAGAACAAAAAAATTCTTAAACAGAGAAATTGTTAAACAAAATAATGCTTCCATATAATAGAATACTATGTAGCCATTCAAAAAATGTGGTAGATACGTACATACATGGAAAATATGTCCATGAGTGACAAGAAGTAACTTTAGGATAATAAAGAATTATCTCTTTTATAAAGTATCTAAACATTTGTATATTCACAGAATAAGATCTAGAATAAAAAACATAATCATTAGTTTTTCTTGGGGAGATTTGAGAGGAGACCATTTTAACCTTTTAGTTTATATAGTTCTGATTTTTTAACCTGTGTCTTCCCTTTACATTTCAAAGAAAAAACAATTCAAAGGAGGCAGGGAGATTATTGCAGTGGTCCAGGCAAAAGACAACCTAGGATTATTAACTGTGCCTCTAACTAATTGGACAAATAATTTTATATCTGTAATCCTTTGGTTTCTCATCTATAAAAGGGGGTACCTTGAAAGGTTGTCAAGAAAATTAAATAATATCCAACAAAGGGTCAATCATGCTTGGAACACTTGTTTAGAATATAAATGATTATTGAATTTTCTAAAATTATAAATTCCTTGAGCCAAGAATTGAAACAAAGGAACCAAGAATAGATTCAAGGAGAACTTGCAGAATGGCATGACTAAGTGGTAGAAGATGAAGAAGGTGAAGCTAAAGAAGCCTAGCTCACATGTCTAGGTTAGACAATTAGACTGGATGGTGACAGCCCTCACAATGACAGGCGATACAAGAAAAAAAAAAAAAGGTTTGGAAGGCACTAAGTTTTCTTTTAACCATATTGTTTGTGTTGCATACAAGATATACAGGAATTAAGCCCAGGTTGTAGTTGGAGGTACCTGGGCCTCAGGAGGAAAAACTGTTCTGAAAATAAAGATTTGGTAATCATGGCAGACAACCAGTCCAGCGTAGACAAACTAGGAAAGAAAATAAGAATCATGCTTATCTCTTCTGCTCTCCCCTGAAGATAGAAAATAAGCCCCTTTCACTTTATTGTTATTTTTTACTAATTGCTTAAAAACAACAGAAAGTATAAACAACATAAAAAAGCTATACAGGTTCCTGAACCCTCAATATTCTCTCGAATTGTCAATTTTGCAGTTTTTATTGAATGATAAGTATCAAAACTTCTTTCAAGAGACCCTTTCTAACATACTTCTTGAGGATTTATTCTTAGTTCTTTACCCCAGGGGAATATATACACTCCAAGTAAATATTTTTTAATATTCTCTTATACATCTGGCCTAATACAATATCTGATAATTTTTCATGTGACACCAATATTTTGATCACCATCACTGTCATCACCACCCCAATAGTTCCATTTATTCAGAATTTACTAGATTCCAAACAAATGATTTGCATATGTACTAATTTAATTCTTTCCCAACAGTAAGTGACTATTATTATCTCCACTGTATAGATGAAGATTCAGGGGACATGAAGTTAATTTGCCTAAGAATAAAGTAAACTTGCTGGGATTCAAGCCCAGGTAATCTGATTCTAGAGCTGGTATTCTACTGGCTCTATCCAGGCAGAATAAAGGCGAAAGCAATTATAAAATATTGAAGGGAATAATCAAATAATGTGGAAATAAATTCTCATATGTATAATTATGGCTGAAGCACTGGCCAAAATTCAGTGGTTCACAGATAAAATAGGCAACACCAGTTGCCATGCAACTACAGATCAAGGATAGCATAGGCACAGTGGAAATAAGAATAATACCAGATTTATTAGAAAACTGGTACTTGTGGAAAGGCAGCAGAGTTCTGTGATGAGAAAGCCACACAGCGTAATAAGATCAAGTAATATCAAAAACTAAGGAAGTAGGAATATCTTTGAGGAAATGAAGATAGTACCATAAATAAATAGAACTATTAGCACCATATATCTTTCCTTTATTTTTCATTTACAGATCTGAATAACCAGAACTGCCTCTCTCTGAAATTTTAAATTCAAGAATCCCCACTTTCCAACTGTATTATTCAGCTTTCAGTTACTATGACAAATACCTGAAAAAAAAAACTTAGAGGAGGAAAAGTCAACTTTGGCTCACAGTTTCATAGATCTCAGTCCAGAGTTGGCCAACTCCATTACTCTAGGCCTGAGGTGAGGCAGAATATCATAGTAGAAGGATATGGTGAAGAAAAGCTCATTCATGGCAGCCAGGAAACAGAAAAAGATTGAGAGAAAGGAGCCAAGGACAATATTTAGTCCTCAAAGGCATGACCTCAGTGACCTACTTCCTCCAACCATGCCCCTACCTGCCTACAGTTTCTACGCATCCCAGTAGTCCAATTACTCATCCATGAAATGGATTAATCCACTGATGATGTTATAGCTCTCATGACCCAACCATTTCCCAAAAGCCCTACCTCTGGACATTGCTACATTGCCTTCAGCACATGAGGTTTTGGTGGACATTCCAAATCCAAATCATAACACCAACTACAGTTCATAACCACTATACCCATTCTTCAACCTTATCAAGACCAAGTCTGTTTAGCCCTAATTTTCTTTTAGTCCTCTTGCCTCTTGTTAATATCTTCTTTTCCTATACATTCTGGATTTAGACAGCTCAACTTCTGACTATCTCTCACCAGTATATTCCATATCCATGTAATTTTGCTATAGCTTAGATTTGAATTGTCCCCTGAAGACCCATATGTTAAATGCTTGGTCCCCAGTCTGGTGCTAATGGAAGGTAATGGAGCCTTTAAGAGGTGAGGCCTAGTGGGAGGGCTTAGGTAATTGGGGGCAATCCCTCAAGAGGGATTGTGAGAACCTAGTTTGTGCACTCAACTATGAGGTAAATGGACTTTCTCAGCCACAGAAGCAGAGATGTGCTATACCACCACAGACCCAAAGCAAAGGGGCCAACTGATAATGGTCTGAAATCTCTAAAACTGTGAAACTAAAAAAATATTTCCTCTTTATAAGTTATCTCAAGTATTTTATTACAATAAAGGAATGCTGACTACCACAACCTTCATCCTTCTACCACAAGTGCCCCTAAAAATCCCAAATCAATATCAATGCCTGAACAGTTTACTACCATAACCACATACTATGCAATTCCTTATCTAAAGTCTCAGCTTTATTTTTTTGTAGTCACCCACAAATCCTGTTCCTTGTACTTGTTCAGTTTGCTTACCTAGTCCCTTTGGGTTTTATTTTAAGCCTTTGTTTATTTTACATTCCCACTTTCTTTCCCTCTAGACC